GGACGGGTGGGGGTGGGGGGGTTATTGGTGGCATTTGGCTCTATGTGCCCGTGTGTGTGTGCGTGTGTGTAAATGTGTGTGTGAGTGTGAAGAGAGAATTCTGGGGGAAAAAACAGAGAACTGGAGGAGAACTGACAGAGTGTGAAAAACTGTGTTTATTTATTTGGCAGGTCAGCAGAGAGGAAATTCTTATTCACTATTACGGAGAAAGATGGTCGGAGGATTGTGCATGTGTGTGTGTGTGTGTGTTTGTGTGTGCGCTTCTTTCTCAGCATGTGTGTGTCTACTTCATATATGCACATGCAGTGTGTGTTTGTCCATGCATACATGCACGCCAGCTTTGAGCCATATGAGAACAGAGGCCATGTTCTTGTCAATGTCAATGAGGATAGTGCTGTTTATGCATGTCTTGAGTCTATCCGGGGGGTGGGGGGGGGCTCAGCGGCAACATCCACACACGACCACCCGTACAGTACACGGTGGGATGTGTATGTCTGTGTGTGTGCATGTATGTGGCTACAACCAATCTATCTGCCACCATGGGAGAAGTTGATTTGCATCTCCAAAAAAACAAGTACAGGCGTATATCTTGCAGTTCTGGAGACCAAATGCTGTAGTTTCCCATAAACGCTGTGGTGACCCACAAGTGAATCAATCAATTAATGAAACCATATCTAATTTCCCATCTGAATACATGCACACTGTAAACAAGGAGACAAACAAGAATAAGGAGAATTTAACTTCACCACCACAGACAAAAATCCGTTAATATCAAAGGGATATTAAGGTTTGTAGTCATGGACATCTGAAGGTAACACCAAGGTTACACAGTTATCTTTTACATCCAATAAACCACCAGGATTGTCTGAAACTGAACCTACAGCAGCAGCCTGAATGATAAAAACATGGGCATAGAAGCCAGTCCTACCCAAGAGAGAATGAAAGAATCAGTGAAGATGAATATGGATGCGACTGCATTAAACTTCTCCCCAAAATCTGCAAGTGTCATATTGTTCACATTCATTGAATCTGCAGCACTGCACTGTTTTATGTTATGTTATGTTATGTTATTCTATGTTAACAAGAAACGCTAGACGTTCTCTGCAAAGGCAACAAGTCCCTGCTCCCGCTTCACTGTCAACGCTACTCAAATTTTTTGGTTGGTTTTCACTGCAACCGCTGAGGCTGCCGCAGTCACTACTACTGTCAGTGAAGTTTCCCGACGCAGCCCATCCACAGGCACATTCTCACACACTACTGCTGCTCGCAAACGCAACTCGCATGATGAATAAACAGCAACAACAAGGAAACAACACAACTTACATGTGGAGATATGAAACGGGCACTTACCAGCGAGAGAGAGAGAGAGAGAGGCAGAGAGAGAGGGGAAAAGAGAGGACTGTCCACAAATCAGCATTCAGTGGCTGGTTGGAGAGAAAGTGGTCGGATTTGTCCAGTGCGCCTTTATCCTCTCGGTCTGAAGCTTCCGGGGTCACATTAGAGGCATGAGGGTGATGTGTTGTCTGAAGAGGCCACACACAGCGATGCCCACATTTGTGGACGTGAGAGACACCGAGATGTTCAGTTCAGTCTGCTCCGCTCTCTGAGCTCCGCCAGCCAGGACGCTGGTGGGAGGAGGAGTGCCAGAGAGCAAGACGCGCAAAGCCATATGGGAAATGAAGTCCGCCGTGACAATGCCCAGGCTGGCTCCTTAGCGGCTTTATTGTAGAATGTGCTGCAGGTGTCTCTTGCAGTCAGTTGAACTGTAGTTTATTCCTTCACACTCACAAATACCTAAGTGAGTAGATCAAGGAATTATGGGAAATGTTGTCAAACTGAATATTGTATTTGGTAGCTGCATATCCAACTTCATTACAATTGTAATAAGGTATAGAGATATCTGAATATAAAGAAACAGAGAATGTATGCGAGGCTTGTCCACTGGCCCCTGCAGTGAAATAAAAACACATATTATAATGTTGTATATACTAAAATATGACTAAAAAACTGTGGCATTCAAGTCTCACTTACTGCTGGAATATTATTTTTGGTTACAGATATATACTCGGTTGTGAATAAATAAGGGTGCTTAAGTTTACTCACTTTTATTGAATCTGTGCTTCTCCAACACACCTTCATGTTGATTTTTGGTTATTTGATGTGAAATGATTTTCAAAATCTTCTAATAATATTTAAACCAGTACATACGAATTGAAGACAGCAGGTGTTTTTCAGTATAGTATCATAGTATCAAGTAGTTTCTCTTGAACAGAAGTTATTTATGCACAATCACCATTAAAACACGGCCGCAGACGTTCACAGAACGTAATGAAAAAGCTTAGCAGAGACACTTTGATAGGGATTGTCAAAGGTTTCATGCCAATAGAAACTATAAACAGAACAGACTGCCCTGATGAGCTTAACAGACAACATTTTTGTTTTTACCGATTTATGAGCTCCATGGGGTTTGAGTGACGTGTTTAGTAATATTTAACAAGTGGAGAGAGGAATAAAAAGAGTGTGAAATATAATTAAGAGTGCACTGCAGTTTTATTTCTTTTCATTTTCATCAGTGACAGTATGACTTTGTGTTATTTATACTTCTGACGGGCGCCCTTATGACTCCTGGGAGTTCCTGAGAAACAACTGACTGATGCAGTGAATGTACTGTAGTTCTACCAAAGTGCTGCTTCCTTGCATACTGTGTGGCCTGTTTGTCTCACTAGGGGTGTGGGGGGAACACCTTTTCATCAACAGAAAATGTTCTGGTACTTTTCCTAAGAAACCCTCAGGGCGTTCACACATATATTGTCAGAGTCTTTCTAAATTCAGTCTGTCAGTTGTGGCTCTTTATTTACTGTAACAGTCTAGTAAAATTATAGCTTCTATAGGACTCCATATTCACACCTAACTTGGGTGTCATCCAGGGTGTGAAGAGCAGATGGTATATGAACTTTTTAATGATCAGTGTTATGAGACATTGAACCATGTTACACCACGGTGGAGGAAAAGTAGTAAGCACAGCCTACATTCTTGCACCAAACAGCTGGAGCAGAGAAAAAGCCTAATAGCATTGATACTTTGTAAAAGACCCACGTTGAACATCCTAAATACCTCTGTTTCCCCAAGAGATCATTTCACAATGGAAAGAATATTTTACAACTTATTGTTGTGCTCAGGCAGAGACTGTGGTAGATGAAATCCTTCACCAAGACAATACCTTTTTTTTCTTTGAGGTCAACCATCCACTTGAGCATTCATTGTTTCTGAGCGCCTTCTCTCCCACTATCTTAAAACTGGACATACAGTACAACTACTTAAATACGTACTTATGTGTGTGTGCGTGTGTGTGTGTGTGTGTGTGTGTGTGGTAGAGAGGGTGTGGGGTGTGCATAGGAAATGCTTCTGCCTCTCAGTAGCTTTATGTCTAAATTTAGAGCCCCATGTCTCCACTGTCCAACTGTCACAGGCTGAGTTGGATTGTCGGCCTTTCAGGAAAGAGACTTGAGGCATGTTGAAGTTAGGATAAATTGTATGAACTCTAAAAACAGGGTGGCTATAAATACCCAACTATACTGCATAGAGGTCGAGGAAGTGCAAACAGCTCAAGTGTTTCACAAAATGGGTAGATGGGTTGATTACTGTGCAATATTTTCCCACTCTTTTCTGGAGATTTTTTTTCCCCCCAAACCACGTTATTTAGTGAGAGAAAATAATATCTGACCACTGAAACTTAATGATCAGTTCACTGAGAAAATATAATGAATTCACATTTGCTGCAGCTGCTGAAAAGACGTGGCCAAGAGATAAATACATGTCCACTTGGTCATAGTTTCCACCCTGAAAATCGAATTTGACAAACTTCCCTTCAAAAAAAAAAAAAAAATTGCAAAATGGTTTTGATTTGATGCTCCAGACGCCTCGTCCATTATTTACTTCACAGAAACAATTCATGCCTTAATTAAATTTGACTCAAGTGCTAACCCAGTCAAAATTCAAATGCATTTCCATTTCTGACATGTTTTTCTACCCTGAAAGGCTTTTGACCTTTTTCATCTGCAGAGTGCAGGAAGCAGCAGTAGCTGGGGACCATTTTGCATCCTCCTTGTCTATTTGATTATGAGACGTGTCTGTTTGATTGTCTATTTGGAGAGCAGCACCTCCTTTATTGACTTAGTGCCTGACAGACCCCCCACCCCACCACACCCCAACCACCCACTAACGTAATTCTGTTCTGTGGCATTGTTTGTCAGACGATTACAGGAAGGTGCCACAGTCAGTTTACCTCTGAGTTTGCGTTAATGAGATTTGTCATTTCATTGTGAACGAGACGCTGGTATTTACAAAGCTCTTACTGTGTTGAATTTTAAGATTACCTATATGAAGGCTGTTAATAGCGCATTTGGTGTTATTTAACTATTACTGTGTGTTTACCTGGACACCTGACATTATAAGAGAGAGCAGGGACATGGTTGTAGCCTACATCACTGATTCCTGCAGAGGTCTGATATTCAACAAGCAAACAAGACATCTTCTCTAGACCCCATGTTGGAAATGTATTCACACATAAGGCAACAGCATCACAGCCAATAAATTTCATACCTCAGCTCAAAGATGTTAAAATATCAACTTTTAGAGCGCAAATACAGGATGCAAATCAAATGTTGAGGATTTTAAAAGATGCTAAGCAAGGAAAACACATTCTAAATATCCATGAACTTAGGAACTGTGGAGGTGGAAATCTAAATATAAACCACATAAAAAAATACAATCCAAATCATTGCTATCCTCACATATTTCTACGTATATTAGGCATGCAAATCTCAAATAAAACCCACTGTTGATCTATCATCTCTAAATGTGCATCTGATGACATTTCTGCATCTACTAGTTTCCCAGTCAACTACCTGCCTAACAGCGGTGAGTGGTTTATCCTCTGGCGCCCTCTAGGGGCTCAATGAGCGTCATCACTCTCTGGCGAGGTTAGAGGTCACTGCAGAACAAACATGGCTGCCACCAGTAAAGCGACCGTGCTGCTGAAGGCTGTGAAGACAATAACGGTTCGGTTTTGTCCGTTCGAGTCCAACGTCCGGTCCACAAGGTGAGAAGTGTGTCTGTGTTGACTGGTCGTGTTGTTGCGTCGTTTTGTTTAGTCCTGACTGCGGAGAGAAGGAGGTTAGCAATCTGTGAAGGGACATGGCAGTGTTTCCAGACAGCAGTCAACCTGAGTTTGTTTTATTTAACGCTTCTTGGAGTGAGAAATATAGTTATGACTAGTGTTGTCGAACCTGAAGTGACTGTGGTCTCATTTCACAGCTTTATATTTGTACAAGTATGTTTCATCTCTGTCCAGTGTTAGCTTTTACATAACATATGAGCTAATTGAGTTATACATTTTTCTTAAAGGCATAGTCGTTATAGGAAACCCCTTTTCTTCTTACGTCATACTCCGGGATTCACTGTTCAGTAAACTTTCCTTCATATTTGGTTTTGAGTGCGCCTTAATCTGTGTGTGTGTGTGTGTGTGTGTGTGTGTGTGTGTGTGTGTGTGTGTGTGTGTGTGTGTGCGCGCGCGCGCGCGCGCGCGCGCGCGTACGTACGTGAGTGTGAAAACTCCTATGCTGTTTAGTGCTGTTAATCACCTGATGACTGCAGTCCCCCTGAATAGCAGCATCCCAAAGCAAAAATTACTAGTGGTGGACGATGTATTTACTTTTTTTCCTAGCTGTCTAAGTAAATGTGGCAATACCACTATGTAAAAATTCTCTCTGAAAGTTCTGCTTTGATGATTTTGCTTCCATAAAAGTGCATTAGTGAGATGCACTGGGGTATCAAAAATTAAAAATACTTTTTATCCAGGCATATTCTTATATTTTTACTTATATTTACACCTATTCATGTGTAAGCAGTAGAAAAAAGAAAATAATTCACAATAACAATATAATCACAATAGCTACAGAAAAAAATCTGTCAAATTCATCTTTAACTTTGTTTACTGTGTATTCTGTCTCTTTTTTGGCAAATGAATTAGACTCAAACACAAGGTTATTGAAATGGTTATTGTCAATACCGGTATTTCGACACCCCTAGTTAGCAGTATTCCCATGTTATATCTGTTTTAAAGTGGGACACATTTTAATTAGTCTGAATATAGTTTGGTAAGTTTTCTGCAAAGATATAAGTTCATCTTTTATATTGCATATAACAGGGAGTTTCTGGCCATGGTGGGCTCAGAGAAGGCCAGGTCTACCAACATGAACTGTGAGGTGATATCCATGGTGAAACATGACATGTCTGAACCAGTGGTGGACGTTACTTATTGTAAGTATTATCTGACTACATTGAAATTTGTGGAAGAAGATATTTCAGTTAGTTTAATTTCACTATTCATCCATATACTAGAAAGTAAAGACATGTCCAAGGCTAATTATCAAAGAGAGACTGTTCAGTTTGGTATTTTTGCAATCTCAAACTGAAGCAGAATAAAAAAATAAAGGCATCATATTGCATCTTGAAAATGCTTAAATTACATTAAGTTACATTCTCAAAAATGAGCTACTTAAGAAGAAAATCTTTGTCAATTACATTTACATAAATGTGACTGTCTTAATATAAAAAAAAAGCCTACAGATTCCATCAATGATTTCTCCCCATAAGATGTAGCCAGAGCTTGAAGACATCAGTGTGACCTGTTCTTTTTTATGTTATTTGGCTCATGTTGGCTCCTTTTTAGAGAAGACCTTTGAGACATGCTTATGATGAAAGACAGTATGCTAAAGTAAATAAACCAGGACCAGGTTCATAAAGTCATACTGTATGACTTATTACACATTAATCATCACTGGTACACACAATGAGTCAAGTACTTCATCAAAAGCAGAAAAGTCTGCCATAGGTCAGCACAGCACTGTATGGAAGTAGCCAAGCATGTTAGCTGACTTTTTCTCAGAGTTACCTTTTCACCTCTTAGTCGCTTAGACTCCTTATACACATTGCCATTGTGGCTCTGTGAGTCATGCCATTGTGTCTTTTTCTTTCTGTACTACAGCAGATGGGGAGAGGCTGGTGATGAAGGGAGCAAAGTTGACCAGCAGGGAAATGCTGAGTGCGTTTCAGTCACGGTGTTTAGCCAAGGACTCGCAAGCAAAAGCTGCAGCAAAGAAGTGATGATCTGTGTGTTGAATATACCTGTATTGGAATTTATCTGTATTTATCTGTATACATTATTAGATGTTTATAATAAAAGTGTCTCATGTAAATGTGGGGATTCTGGTGTGAGTTGACCTTTGGTTCACTGAAGCTAAGCCCTGCATTGATTGTGATGTGATCTAATTTGGACAGGAATGATATTGAGTCAGTTACTCCTCCAACTGAATCACTCGTTCCAAATTCCTTTTTTTTCTCCACTGTCAACATGAACTTTTATTACAGTCAAACAAAAAAAAGTACTGCACCCTGTTGTTAATGGGAAATGGTTTGAACATCCCCATCAGTTATGCTTATGTTCTCCAAATTAAAGACATCAATTGAAATGCTTTAACTGCTAAAAAAAACATGCTGTGATCAGGAGAGGGTCATGCTGTGTCCTTGCATAATGTGCCATTTTCCTGATAAAAGAGACCATTCCAGCGTTTTAGAGAACATTATGCAAGCTCCAACCTTTGACACAGCAGGCTTACATGTAATTTGGCACAGAGTTTCAGATGCAGCCTCACTGAAAAAAAAACCTTTCACCCAGTCACAGATAACTGAAATCCCGTCCTCTCTGCAAGTTACCCCCTGTTCCATTAGCATCTCTAACTTAATGGCGTTTCTCCATGGATGGATTCTTGTTACATCCATGTTTTTCACATAGAAAATGTATTTCAAACATTTTTTTTTTTATTAAGCAGAAATATGTTCATGATTGTATTTATCATTCATATTCATATTCTAGACTAAATCACTTTAATGTCTCCCACTATACAGGAAAATAAAATTGGTCCCACCACCAAATTAGGGACCCTTTTCTAAAATGCTTTAGAAGTTGTAACTAATTATATAATTTGAAAATCATGTATTAATTGGGTAAATATCTATTATAAGCCAACACATTTTGGATTGTGATGTTAGAAAGTCCCAGTAGCTTGTATTTGAAAATCAACTTTAAAAACCCTTAATGAGAAAACAGATGCTGGATTTCTATTACGTGACGTGTCAGGCTGTGATTGGCTCCTCCTGCGTGGTTGAATGTCGGGTTGGCCCTTTAAAAACGCTCTGATCCTGTTCCCACACTGGAAGCGAGTTGAATCCGGAGTCACCCCACTGGCCGTTGTTGAGGATATCACACCAGACTGCAAACATGGTTGAGAATTTTGTTGGGACATGGAAGATGATTTCCAGCGAGAACTTTGATGACTACATGAAGGCAATTGGTAGGAGAGTTTGTGAATTATTTGATGGCAAAAAAGTAGAAATAACTTTTAAAAAAAAATGGACTCACAATATTTGGATTTGCTCGTCTACAAACAAGTGCAAATGTTTCCAGTGTATTAAATAAAGTGCATGTTGATTTTTTTTTTTTTGTCACGATAACGTTACCTTCCCGCTCTGCAGGTGTGGGATTTGCAACCCGGCAGGTGGGGAACCGGACCAAGCCCAATTTGATAGTGACCGTGGACGACCAAGGGATTGTATGCATGAAGTCTCAGAGCACCTTCAAAACTACTGAAATCAAGTTCAAGCTGAACGAGCCGTTTGAGGAGACCACCGCCGACGATAGGAAGACAAGGGTTAGTGTGATGTGATGGACAGAAAGAGAAAGAGAGAGAGAGAGAGAGAAAGAGAGAGAGAGACAGAGAAAGCAAAACAAATTAAATCACAGCTCCTGTGCGGGAGTTGACGGGTTGTCTCTGTTCTGTGCCCTGCAGACCGTGGTGACGCTGGAGAACGGCAAACTTGTGCAGAAACAGAGCTGGGACGGCAAAGAGACGAATATCGAGAGGGAGATCACAGATGGCAAATTAGTAGCGGTAAGGTTTTTTTTTTTTTTTTTTTTTGGGGGGGGGGGGGGGGGTAAAATCATAAAACTTTGTAGTGATAGAAGTAACTTAAACTTTTAGATGCATTGAATTACATGCAGTAGTCTTTAAATTCACTTCATTACACATAAGCATCTTTACTTCTTTTTTTAATCATAGGCCAATTAAGGTTCAATAAATAGTCTGCCAATGTAAATGTAATGTTCATGACCAGTTATTTCTGCATACTCTTGCATACTCCACATTTCACTTGAGAACTAGGGCAAGCATGTATCTTAGGGTAAAAATAACATTGCATTCCTAATGAAACAGGGGGAAACAGTACACTTAAGTAGCTACTATAAGGACAGAAATACTAAGAATCTCCCGTATATGTTCTGTTTTTGGCAGAGTGCAGTTATATCATGAGAGATTAAAAAAAAAAAAATCATATACCTCTGTAGAAATATTATACATACTACAGCTTTGTGTGATAGCTACAGCTTAAATTCTTCCCCTTATTCAAAGCATATACAGGAATTTGTCTTCACCTGTACCTGATTTCTCTCCCCCCCTCCCCACACACATAGAAATGCATAATGGGAGACGTGATCGCAGTGAGAACTTACGTAAAGGAGGCGTGATTGGGGTCCCCTCAGCCCACTCCTTGGATGCATTGCTGGATGACAGGCTCAGTTCAATGAGCGTAATACCAAACTGAAGTAATGGTGTGTTCTGCTCTTCTTATTCTTTATCTTCACTGTGTTGCCAAAAATCAAATTTCTGTGCCTCTGTTCTCCAACATGACACATTTGGTTTCATTTGGAATTGTTGTGGTGATTTGAATAAAAATGAATGACAAACTGTCAGAAATGATGCCTCTGTGATTTTTATTGAGTAGCTGTCCGTAAGTCAATTTGCCAGCTGTTTATTTGAATTAGTTCAAATTCAGTTATGCCATTCTTCAAAGCATTCCAGTCATTAGGGCATGCTGAGGAATGCCGTACAATCAATGTGCCCTAATGGGAACATACCACCTAATCTGACAAGGTGATTTCCTGACTTTAATGGTTTATCCTCATGCTTGGTGAATATTACTGTAATTATTCCACATGCAATCACATTTTCCAGCTGTTTTGGCTTGTGCAGCTCCTTTATATTTCCTTATTTTGGTCAGAAGACAAAGACAAAAAAGGTTCCAAACATATTCCCCTCTTAAAGGTCAAGAAGCAGTCCAGCATCCTGATGATGTAAGATGTGTGTTGGCAGAGGACTCCTTGAGGAATGTGAACTCTTTTTTTTTAGAAGTATTAGGAGTATCATGTAGAGAGTTCAGTGAGGAAATGTAGCCCCTCTTCCTTTTTGGGAGGTTGAACATTTCCCATTGCACATGTATTGGCAGCTGTACGTACATGGAGAAACTAAAAGCATTATGGGTTGTCCCAACAGACGTCCCCGCCCTTTGGCCGCTGGTCAAGTGTGTGTATGTGTGTGTGTGTTGAATGTGTGTGTGTGTGCGTGTGTGTGTGTGTGGGGGGATTGTTCCAGAGGCGACGGCCACTTTCCCATGACAGGAAAGGGAGACGATAGCACTGATTGGACCTAATGGCCAAAACAGCTGAAAGAGGTGGAATTGTGGGCCAACACTCTTGTTCCCTTTTGTGTGGACAATGGTACTGGCAGCAGCTGAGGACGTACAGTAGTTGAACTTTTGGGAAGATGCCAAGTGGATGAGAATATCACAGTGAACTGTTAGCAAAGGTCACCAGAGTTGTAACAGTTTATGATTGGCTGTGTTTTAAATTCTTCAAATATATTTCACTTTTATAGATGAGGAGCCATTTATACTGTTAACAACAACAAGAGTAGCACTGTAAGCGACATGGTCCTTTCCTGGATAACACACGCCACCAGTCTGATACAGTTAACAGGGGGTACATTTTCCCTTAACCCGTTCCCATCAATTTCAAAAGACAAGCAACTTGCAATGATCTTCATACAGTCAAGGCTGGATTACCAACCCAGCAACGACGAGCTCCAAACCCTCCAGGGGCCCCAAAAGCCCCAGGTTCACTGTGTCAGTTAGTTTTTGATTCCCTGCAAACCTTTTAGGGAATTTGTACCACTACAGTACAATATCAAAAATCTTGTGGCTCTCTTTAATGTATAATGTGATCACATGATGCATTTTCCTAAATAAGGAATCAAATTACAATCTAATTGACATAAGAAAACCTGGGGCCAGGTAGTGATCCAGTATAGTTGGTTTCTCTGAAGAGCCCATGCTTTGCCTCTGTGCACACTGTCCTAAATGCTGTGTATGCACATTATAAAAACACGGTCATTTTCTCACAGCCAGAAAGAAAAGATCACATCTGCTACGGATTGACTTACAGGTGCAGTGCTTGTGATCCACAGGCATCCCCGTCACTTTGTTTGGATAACTGCGGGGAACGAGGCAGATCTCCACCTCTCCCACTTTATCTCAGACATCTTGATTTGATGGTCCAACGTGTTTTTTAATTATCTAAAATATAACTCGGAAACTGGGGCTGGAAACTCGAACAAAACATGAGTCAAACTCTGCAACTGGGAAGGCTTTTAGCATTTCTTGTCATGAGTGGCAGCTTGATTATGTGAATTGGTAGGAGCTGTACAGTCCTGAAAAAGAATACTATCTCACACATGAACAGTGGTGCAGGAGGCAGAGCATCTGAAAAAATATTTTCTAGCCTAAGGCCCAACAGGATAGAAAGGGAGGTATTCTACATGGAGAGGAAAGGTCCTGATCTTCCTCTCCTGCCCACAGTCGACGGAGGTAAACCTTACGTCAGCAGAGTGGTTTCAGAGTGCAAATTAGGAAACTGTTTAGGAAGGAAGAAGATAGTGAGAGGCCTGTTGAGAGTTCACTGGCAGGATAAACTGGAGTTTAGACATTCAGTGTGATCATCCTCAAGTTAGGATTTTCCTTGTAATGTCATGTAGAAGAAAATACACTAGGGTATATGAATAACATGGCATAGGCTATATGATATGGGTCTGACATTACTCACACAATGTAAACTGCTAATTTATCCTCTTATTGCATGAGTGGTTGTGTGTGTGTGTGTGTGTGTGTGTGTGTGTGTGTGTGTGTGTGTGTGTGTGTGTGTGTGTGTGTGCATGTGCGTGTGCATGTGCGCATGCGTGTGCGTTCTCATGCCTGACAGACAAAGGTATCTTGTTGACACTGGGGCTGTTTTGTGTTGAGAAAGATTGTCTTGGACTTTACAAGAATGAAGTCACATCCTTTGCATAACATCTGGAAAGCTCCACTTGAGTTGTCGTGTTGACTCCCTTCCTCTGCTTAAACTCTGTCTAACACAAACACCTTTCATGTTTAAGTGGATCAGCAGGGCTAAAGATACACTCATGCATGAGCTATAAATTGACTCTTGTACTTAATTTGACCTGGTTTTATGTTGCACAACCAAAATGAATTAAAAGGGTGCTCCAGGAATACAATCTCGACTTTGACTGTCTATGTCAGTCAAGAGTAATTGATATCTATTTCTTTATTGTTTATGTGTTTATTTGCCATGGCTTGAGGGAAAACTGCTTCCCTGGTTTGATATTTTCTAAATGTTGCCTAATTCTTAAGAGATGCAAAGGAATGCTGAACTTTGAGGAATGATGGGTGAGAATGACCTGTAGTGTCTGAGACTCTAAACAGTCAGTCACAACAATGTAATCTGGAAAGCAGGGAACAGAATTTGGAGCTTTGTAACCAAAGAATGTTAGGTACAAAAAACCAGGGACAAAATCTTACCTTTGTTTTTTCCACATCAGGGGAAGTGTGAACATTAGACAGATAACAGTTTTAAAAAGGGGGGAGATCGTTTCCTTAGTGATGACACAACGTTTAATTCAATCGTGTGACTGTGACTGAATTTAGGAGGAAAATGAAGAACAAGTACACAAGGAATTTTATAATTCAAGAAGCTCAAGGCAGGTGACCTGACTGAACAGCTATATTTCATTTCACAGTCATTATGCCTTTGTCTTTTCTTTGACAAATTAGACATTAAAATCCCAAAACAAGACTTTTTTCAATCCCAAACACAACATTGAAATGGTGAGACTGTAACTTAATATGCCAGTAAAATGATGACACAAAAACATTTCCTTCACAACAGCTTGATATCAGCTTTCTCATTGTGGTTTGCTGTTGAGTCTGAATGACTCTGGTTTCAGGGAGGGAAATGCAAACAAGAGTGAGGAGACGATCACGTCTGTACCTCCAGCTCAAATCCCACTCTGCGTTTTTCAGTTTAGGTTTCTGCTTGTGTGTTTGTGTGTGTGTGACCTTGAGATCAACTCCCACCTAGACACATCTCACCGATTCTCGGAGGGTTTCTGAGAAGTTTTGCTTCCACATTCGCTCATAACATTGTGCATTCATCAGTTTTACCTCAATCCTCCCCACAGGGCCTACAGCACCCAGGATCAGTCTCCAGGGGCAACCAAACAGCTGGGCAGAACTATGTCAATTGAGGCCCAACTGGACAGTAGGGGAGGCTGGTTGCTATGCAACAAGCTTCCTTTCCACTGACCCTCGCAATCCAGTTATACTAAACAGTGAACTCTGATTTCTTCATCAAGTGTCTGAGTGTTATGCAAGCTGTGCCCTGCCCAGTCGACCAGAGGCAGGCTGTGCTATCATCTCCCCAAACACCCAGAGAGACGGTGTCTGTGATCCCAGGAAGGGACATTGTTTTGAATCAGGGAGTCCAGCTCAGGCATCTGGAAACCAATCACTCCCAAAACTTTGATATGAGCCAGTGTTGTTTAATTCTGTGTCTGATAATTGATCCAGTCCTTTCCATTGTTTACATACAGTATAAACAATTAATATAGGCAATACATTCAGTTGCCTAACTAAATCTAATGCAGTCTAATGCAATACATTATATTGCTTTATACATAGAGGTGTTTCTGTTATTTAGTTTATCCTCATTAATATATATTAATGAGAGAGACTATAGGATGGACAAAATATAAGAAACCCCTGTCAATATAATACAATACAGCTCAACAGCCCCACAAACTGTAGTCATCATCAGTGATCATACAGTACCTAGGAAACTGGAAACTGATATATTGCTCATGTGTGGTTAGAGCCTATGAAAATAAGGGAGTGTAACACAATTTTCTTATTCATTCTAATATTCATTTTATTTTAAGTGCTGAAAAAAAATCTGACTCGGCAGTGACTCGGAGGTCTGGAATTAGGCTGCTCCATAGGGGTGTCAGAGGTCAGGGTCAGCTAAAGAATGCAGACAGAAAGCCAAGTAGTATGAGACTTATTAATATGTTTGATCCACTGGATTGCATGGGTACTGCTTAGCCACTGTGCAAGAGGTTAAGCATACTTAATATTCAAAACCAACAATCCGCCCTAAATGAGCCAGTGAGTCATTTAGAAGTAAGTTCTCGGTCTCTTTTTTAATAAAGCAAGTGTTTCAAACGATTCTTAATCTAAGTAGCAAGGGTGTCGAGCCAGCTCAAAATATAACTTCTAAAGGCACCTCTACTGTATATGAGGAAATACATTTTAGCCTTTGAGGAGACCACAAAGAATCACTGTTTTTCAAGTCATCCCACCAGGAGTTCCTGTCAAAGCGAGGCCCCTGCGAGTCATTGAATAGCTCAGAGGAAGGATGGTGGAAATCTTTAAAGTGAGGCTATACAAACCAAATCCTACACAATGGTTTCCCCTAGGGAGCCATTCCAACCTAAGCTCGCCACCACGGCTTTTATGCTATATACAAGCATGTTTACCTGCCTGTTCTTTTGTCCATGCATTTGTGCTCTGGCATTTCTCTTCAAAAGCAGACA